TAAAACAAACTCAGTTTCTTTGGTAACTCAAACAGGGAGAATAGTTGTTGGATGTTGGTGAATGCTGGCGTGTCACCCAAAATGTGCCGTGTCACCTTTGTCATGTGTGTCTTAGGTTCACCATCACTGATATAGATGATAAAGTATTTCCTTATGCATTACATAATTTGGGTTTTCTATAAAGTGTGGACATAACCCGGAAGATTTTGCTCCTCGAATATATTGCTACATCTGAATGATAAGTACAGTACATACCTAAGATGGTATTTATGCAAGATAAGATATGAAATGGCCTGCTAGCTATACAGGTGACTGTAAATTCCAATGAAATGAAGGGGAATTTATCAATAAACATAGAAAAGATCAGCCAGCAGAAGTTAATCATAGCCTACAACTTCCTTATGGGATGACAACCAATTTGTCTGACTTGAAATTTCCCCTTTTAGATTTTGTGGAGACTTTGGTAGATGACAACATTTTGATTAAGGCAGGGTTTTCTATTTATAAATTTATGCTAATTGGAAAACCATGAAAATAAAAAGATAAATTTAGTGGTGTGCAATTGCATTTATCTTTACAATTTCAATAATTATCTCTAAATGCTGCAGATCACATTCATCTTATGCCTTTCTATCCTCTGCTAAACTCCAGCTGTTGAGACCCACAATGCTTCCCTCAAATGAACAACAAAATATTTAATAGCAAACTGTTATTTACTGCAGAGGTGCACACCTTCTGTTAGCTTGAGGGTCTCACAAAGATTTATGTGGCTCTTTGAAAGCTGCACTCTAAAAGTGCCAGGGTCCATTCTGAAATGGGGTTCCCATAGTTTTAAGAGGATGAAATGGTTAAGTATCTGCATGGAGTAGAGTTCTCATTTAGACTCCAAGCCACCACGGAAAAAAAAAAAAAAAAAAGCCCAAACTTTCCCCCTATCCACTCTGGGGAGGGTCTCCGAGGTTCATTTTGTGATAGGAAACATCCTTCACTAGAACTGTTTGAGAGTCCCCACAATACTTTTTCAAAATTCTTGCAAGCTAAAAAAGAAAACCTATTTTATCTTTGATGATTAACTGTAACAGCAGCAGAACTGATATAGCATTCAACAGAAATTGCGGAAAGCAGGACAGAATAGAGTCACTGTGCACCATAGGGGAAATGCAAGGGAAAGGCACTCTCCAAAATGCTATCCATGCTTCTAGTTCTTGGCAGGCAATCTACAGTATTCTGTACATCCGTCTACTTTCTTGGCTCACTGCCCACTGTTGTATCAGACTACTTTCATTCAGTACTCCAGAGTTAACTATATCTCACATAATCCACAACCTATAATAGCTACCCTATTAGGGGTGATGGGGATTGTATTTCAATAATTCTGAAGGGTGGCAATTTTGGAATAAGCCAAGTCATCTTATACCTGAAGCACCTATTTTTATTATCAAGATCTTTTTAAAAAACAGCCAACAGAAATTGCAAGGAACACCGCACAAACTGATAGGTTTAAATGTAACTGACGGCATAGCTGTCTTTTTCTGTACCCAACGCTCAGAAGCAAACCTCAGTGAGACATCTTTTTTCCCCTAATATTTACTTACGGCATTCGAAAGAAAGCAACAGCAAAGCACTTCCAAACAGAGCCCAGAGAATTGCGGAGAAGCATCCTGTAGAAATCTATACCATCATCTTCATCGTGCTATCTAAATACATTGAACATATCTGCTTTTGAATACAGTATACACGAGATTCCCATAATTACATTGAAGTCACCTTAATTGTACAACAATAACAATAATAGTAATTTTTCTACTAATAACAGACGCTTCTGATTCAGCTCTGCATACGCATCGACAATGTCACCAACGTTCTACAACAGTTTCGTTAAGCGTGACAAAACCGCTCCATTCTTTTCCTGCCTCTCGCTGCGCATGCGTACTTTTAGAAATTCTACCTGAGAGCTTCCTCCCATTGGTTCTTTGAACCGATTGAGGAGGGGCCGGAATCTATTGTAGTCGCGAAATCGGTCTTCACCCAAGGTCAAGTTATCGCCTGGCGCATGCGCATACCGGTGAGGTGCTGGACCGCGGGTGGGGAGAGCCCGGAAAAGCGCTCTGTTTCCTTTATTTATATCGGAGTGCTTGCGCAGGCGTGGTTGTCAGTCTTACACTAAGGAACGAAGGTCGGTAGTTGTCTGTCGCCGCCGCTTCTGCCTCATCTCCTCTCCTCTCGTCTTTTCCGGGCCGTTTCCAGACGGCAGAGGGCCCATGGCGATGAACTACAACGCCAAGGCGGACGGGCAGCCGGGAGGCAGCGGCCTTGGGGCGTCCGGCGGGGCGTCCGGCGGAACCGCCACCAAGAGTCGCAAGCCCGACAACACGGCGTTCAAGCAGCAGCGCCTGCCGGCCTGGCAACCCATTCTCACCGCCGGAACTGTCCTGCCGGCTTTCTTCGTCATCGGCCTCATCTTTATCCCCATCGGCATCGGCATCTTCGTCACCTCCAACAACATCCGCGAGTACGAGGTGAGACCTCGGAGGACGGCGGACGCCGAGGGTGGAGGCTGC